ATGTTATTTTACCTAAATAATTTTAGATATTTTATTTCAGTAATTTTTTTCACCTGTAAGTTTCACAATTTACCATATACCAAATAAAAATTAAAACTTGTTTTTCTATATTAATTTTTATAGACTCCAATGAAATAATCGGGCCAATGTATGAGACTAATACCTAAGAAAAATAAACTTTCAGTAGAAATTTAGAAAAATATTTGAATAACATAAAGTATACATTTTCATTAAATTAGTACTTTTAAACATGGCCCTTAGAGACAAATAACAAACCTCAATACTCCTTCGATCTAAACGAAAGTGAGATTTAAATTCCTTGTCCGAAAATTTTGGTACCATCAATTCAGCAAACATTTTTATTTTTGTTTTTAATTCTTTTGACTTATTAGCTTCACTAAAAATAATAAAGTCGTCTTCACTTTGATCATCATCACCGGAACCAAAATACAGTGGATGAATAAATACGTCTAATTTAAAAAATGTCTTACATGTTAAATGTATAGGTATCTTGTAGTGGGTACAGGGTTGGGCAAGATACTAAAAAAAAAGTATCATGATCCATGATACATGCATTTAGTCTATCAAGATACAAGATACATGATACATGTACATAGGCGCAAATAGCATTTGGGATTTGGGGGGGGGGCTAAAGCCTTACTTTGATAATATTGACTAAGCTTAAAACAAAATGTAGAAAATGTTTGGGGGGCTATGGACATTTTTGGGAGGGCTTATCCCCTAAAGCCCCTCCCCCCTATTTGCGCCTATGTACATGTATCAAAGATACTTAGATACATGATACTTTTATATTTGTATTCAAATTTTATTTACTATTAAACTTAAAACGTCTATACATAATTCACTAGGTACCTATACTGTCAAAACATAAATACTATTAAAGTCAAAATTATATTAAATAATACAATAAGTCAATAGGTTCCTGCAGGTACACATTATAACATTATAACTAATACATCACTATATTACATAAATACACCAAAATTAATAAACTGCATAAAAATTACATCTTAATTTGTACTTATAGATAGTTCCTTTATGTGTACAATTGGTAGTGGACTTATGGTCAACAATGAATATAAATTAAATATAAAATACTAATAATAATAAATTATATATAAAATATAAATTAAATTGGTTATGGTCTTATGGCCTTATTAGTTATGGTTGGTTTTTACTTTTTAAATTAAATGTTATTTTTATGAATAAAATATTGATTGCTTTTAAGAAAAATTAAATTTTCAAATGTTTTGTCTGATAGATTAGATCTACTGGGTGAGTGCACAAAACTAGCAAATGAAAATAAACGCTCAACAGGTCACAGGGGCAGATGAACAAAGACTTGTATTATATTTTATAAATAGTTTTTTTATAAATGGATAATTATTTAAGCAATGTAATGATTTGTTATTGTCGTTAAAATAAGTAATTAATTCTAGTTCATTCTTTGATTGCTAATTAATAATATTATCTAATACCGAAAATCGAAATGTGTAGGTACTATTCAGTACACATTTCTACACTAAAAGAACCTTGTATCTTTTGGCACAATATTTGGCATAAAATATACCATGATACATGATACTTGATACTTTAAAATTATGTATCATGATACAAGATACAAAATACAATTGTACTTGATACTACCCAACCCTGTGTCTGGGTGGGTAAAACATTTAAATTGACTAAAATCTATACTTACTTTTTCGATTGGACATCGATTGTACTGTATGATTTATAACATCAGTGACAACACGGTTCTTACTAAGAATAAAATTCTTAAGCATCGCAATTTTAAAATTATTATTATCATCATCCATTTTTATTTTTATTGAAAAAAAATTATAAAACGTAGAAACTATACATATAAATATTAATAAATATGGAAACTAGCTAGTATAGGCAGATGAAAACTATGACAAAGATTTCAAAAACCGCGGGAAACAATTCATATCAACTACATCCGCGATAAGAAAATGAATTAGAAAAGTGGGAGTAAACCGATCTATAGCCCGAATTTCTATCTAAACCGGTGTATCTTTACGCAGAACCATGATCATGAATCGGAATCATGAATCGGGATCGGTAAAGCAAACTGGTTTAATCTGGCGAATTTCTTAACTATATTCAAGAAACGGACAACTGTGAAGCGAAATTATTTAGTAGTCAGGACAGAGATGTAATACCAAAAGCGTGTGAAATAAAAGTTACACGCATTCAAAAATTGATAATACACAAGCTAGATAATGAGAATGTTTGGTTGTACACAGCAGAACAACCAGTAACGATCAACATTGATTGTGCGAGGGGAGAGCCAGTGTTGCAAACCTTGAAAAACACGGGTACAATCTCTGTGACGTATCCGTGTCACGCAATCACGAAAGAGTATGAGCTGACCCCTACCAGATCGATAGTAACGAAAACATCGTATGATTTCATTCCAAGGGTTAACATAACGGCTAATATGAAACAATATCAAACTAGTAGGATAGAGGATGATTTTCCAAAACTGAATAATTCATACTACCCAGATTTTCATTCATTAGCAAATAACGCAAAACAGTTAGATTCATTATTACAGTCATAACACAAATAGTTATTTAAATAAAACTACATAGGTATGTAGTTAGGTTATAATAATACCTAACCAAAAAAAATTAATACATACACTTAATTAGAATTAATATATCAAATAAAATTTTTTTTTTTTAATATAGGTATCATATTGTGACAGTCAAAAATATTCAGAAATGTTGGATATTTCTGAAAAACCAGATTTTATAAATTTTATTTGTAAATTATTGAATTCCGGGATAACATCTGCATCATATTCACATAGAGCTGATTTAATTATAAACAATTTGACTGTTGAAATAAAAGAAATGAAATTAATGAAGAAACTACATTAGTTGTATGTGCATCTACTATTGGCCATGTAATTGACTCTTTGATGGAGAAGTATCCATCAGCAAAAGAAATTTCTAACTGTCCGGTGTGTAAAAATATCAATGAACGAAAAATTATGCATTTCACATTCCAAATTAATGATGACGATAATATTTCTAAATTACAAAATTTCTTTGATGAGCGTTTAGAAAAAGACTTTTTAATTTGTAGCCATAATGATTGCAAAGGTCTCAAGACAGTCACTACTGACATTTCAGAAATGCATTTATTCATTGATATTCTTATTTGGGAAGGTAAATAATATATATATATTTTTATAACAATTTAATATTTGATTGACATATATGTTAAATAATTGTTTTATTTATGTATTGAAATATGTAAATAGGTGAAGATGCCATTTCCAGCCAACGCAGTAGTGAGGCAGCAACCATTTTTAAGATAAAACTGTGTGACATACCGGAATTAATAACAGTAAAATCCACAGTATATGAACTAAGAGGTGTTTTAGCATTTCAACGCCCTAAAAGTTCATTAAGAAATTCTGTTGGGCACTATACAACATACACAAAAAGAGGATCTAAAAATTGGGAGCTTTATGATGACCTCAAAAAACTTCCTGTCCAAGTGAAAGAGCAGACAATAGTTCCGGTCGAATTTTTATTTTATTCTGTTTAAAAAAAATTATTGTTTTAATTACCTATTCAAAGAGAGAATTTTTTATTTTAATAAAGTTAAGTTTGTTTTTTTTTATATTATTTTATTATTTATGTAGAGTTATATTTAGTTATATACAAAATTCTTGAATTTTTAACTAAATTAATCAATTAAAAACAAAAATAATTTTACACTTCGAATTGAATAAAGACCAGATTTATGTTCATCTGTAACCTAAAAAACGTGCTATTAAAATGTTGACATTTGAAAAATCGTGCAAAAACCAATCATAATTAGGAATAAGATAACAAAATATCTTTAATTATAGGTATTTCAAATTTAATTTTTACTGTTACTTATTTTTATAATATTATTATTTTATTAGTAATTGGCATTATATTAAAATAAAATAAAATAATTGTAAATTTAAAATTATAAAATTTAAACTGATTTACAATATCGAATATTTGACTTTCCGGGAAAACCGTTAGAGCAGGAATTCCGGGGTTTGCGGCAGGAATCAGTAGGAATTGAGCACTAAAAATTGGCGTTGGAAAAAGTTAAAAAAGTCGAATCCCGAACTTGGGGGGTTTGGAGAAACGTTTCTCCCGCCGCAAATACAGTTTTTAAATTTTTACGGGGGCGGTTTTTGAGCAGGAATTCCGGGGTTTGCGGCAGGAATTGAGCACTAAAAATTGGTGCGAAAAAAATTGCAAAAAGTCAAATTTTGAAGGTGGGTGGGGCTGGGGTAACGTTACCCCAGCCCCACCCGGGGGAAATTTGACTTTCCGGGAAAACCATTAGAGCAGGAATTCCGGGGTTTGCGGCAGGAATCAGCAGGAATTGAGCACTAAAAATTGGTGCAAAAAAAATTGCAAAAATCAAATTGGGGGGGGCCGGGGTAACGTTCGTCTTCGAGGGGACTCCTACTGGTGATGGTGAAGCAGGGGAGAGACCAACCATCAATGACCAAGAAGAAAGTAAGATACCAGAACCAATAACACCAGCAACATAGAATCCGGTTGTGGTTAGGGGCCAGCGGGAGAGAAAGGCACCGGGGTACTTGAGAGATTATGTGGCTAAGTAAAATGTTAACACTAGACAGTTTTGTAGTCTGACTAACAGCTACTATATTTTGTATTAATTATTCTTTTTTTTGTGTATTGTTTTGTATAATTTAAAAAAAAAAAAAAAAAAAANAATACTAGCATTGTTAAAATTGTTTTGTGCAAATTTTAAATACTGGCATTGCTAAAATTGTCTTGTGTAAATTTTAAATATTAGCACTGTTAAAATTATTTTGTATAAATTCTAAATGCTAGCTTTGTCAGAATTGTTTTATATAATTTCAAACATTAATGTAGTTAGAATTGTATTGTAACTTAAGGCCCGAGGGCGGCCCTTACATCAGGAAGGCCGAATGTTGGCAACACTGGGTCCTGATGCCACTGTAGGGAGGGCATAGTTGTCTTAGTATGTAGAGTCTGCCTGTTGCGGCCTATTCCTCAGGTCTGCTGTGTGCGGCCTATGTTATTTCTGTTTTACGTTTTGTCATTTATTCAAGTTGCTTTATTAAAGATTACCTAGTGCATAACTATAAGGTTGAATTAGTTTATTTTTCTTATCCTGACATCATATATTTATCGTTGAATAATAGCCTAGATATTAATCGCTAACAGTGGTATTATGTAAACGTTTACTTCCACGAAGGCTGGGTACGCTGCGCGGGGTTGGCTTGTTTACCATTCATTATTCATTTCGTTTACTTTTGCAAATTTTGCTGACCCTGCCACACCGGTTCCCAGTTTTTTTATTGTACCATTATAAGAAACCACGTTTTTTATACAAATTTTTGTTTTCATTTCAAAATGGTTGTGAAGTGTTTTATATATCCGAATAAGTATGGATCCTTGTCTATTGCTACTTTTCACAGATTTCCAAAGGATAGCGAAAGGTAAATATAATTAATTAAATATTAATAGTGTATTAATCTAACAATGTTGTAATATACAATTTTATTATGTTTTAGATTCTATGAGGGGGTTAAAATTTGCCGCCGTCCTGATCTACTAGAAAAGGGCTCATCCTATAGTTATCGATCAATAAAATTATGTTTAGAACATTTTCTAAAAACAGATTTTACTAATTCTAGGTTGAAAAGTGTTGCTGTGCCTTCAGTATTTAACTGGTCTAATGTAGAGTTGGAACAAACTAGAAGTTTAGACATTATTCCTGAGGTGTCCATGCCTAGTACTTCAGGAATAATGGCCAATTCTGTTGACATTAATAGTGAGTCACTATCGTCAATTAATTGGGCAAACATATCAGCCATGTCTTGTTCAACTCCTAAAAGTAAATATACTTATAAAATAAGCAAGTCAAATTATATTAACGTTGTATTTTTTTTTTTTTTTTGTAGCCAGCTCTGTGTCGAGATCATCGTATTCTTCAGGCAATAGTTCCACAGCCACTTCTAATTCTCAAACCCAAACACATCAGAGTCTGTTAAGTAACACACCACGAAAGGATAAACTTAACAAACTGCTAAGTATCCAAAAAAATTAATTTAATAATCTTCATAAACAATTTCTTACACTAAAAAAACATTGTTCTGACCAAGAAAAAAGTCTTCAACATTGGAGTTTTTTCATTTATCGTGTGACAAATTTCTGAGCAAGGGTTTTGCGAATTTCGTTAAAATTCAGTCCAAAGTAACATTGCAAAATCCCCATGGACATAGATATTCTTATGAAATAAAACAATTTGCACTCATGGTACATTTTATGGGTCCTAAAGTATATTGATTTCTTCGGAAACCCTTGAGTTTGCCCTCTGTTAGAACTTTGCAAAGAACTACAGAAAATTGGGAAATTAATCCTGGTTTGAATGACTTTTTATTTAAAGTTTTAGCAGTGAAAGCAAACTCCATGACACTGAAGTCTAAAGAATGTATCTTGTGTGTAGATGAAATGTCACTTAAATCTTTTGTTTTCTTTGATTTCAAAAAAGATGAAATAATAGGTTTTCATAATTCAGGATTCATTAAGTCTTGCGATGTTACTAAATCAGTTATGGTCATTATGATCAGTGGTTTGCATAGTTCTTGGAAACAACCTATAGGCTATTTTTTTGTCGCTACTACTTGTACTGAATATGATCTGCAAAATATAATCTTTCAAACTGTTCATAAATTGTCCAATATTTATATTAATGTAGTAGTCATGATTTCTGATTTAGGCTCAAATTTTAAGCATTTTGCAGATCAACAAGGCATTACCCCCCAAACCCCTTACTTTAATGTTGGAGATAAAGAAATTGTTTACATGTTTGATTTACCTCATTTATTAAAGGCAACTAGAAATAACTTTTTCAATTATCGTTTCAATTCTCAAAATAAAATTGCAGAAAAAATGGATCTTACAAATGTGTATGACCTTGATAAAAGTAAACAACATCGATTGGCACCTAAATTAACTGATATTCATTTAAATCCTAATGTTTTCAAAAAATGAGAGTAAAATTTGCCGCTCATGTTTTTAGTCATACAATGGTTGCAGGGATGACACCTTAGTTTCTTGTAATGAATTACCGCAAAGTGCCTTCGATACAATTGATTCCATAGATTCCATGGGTAAGCTGTTTGATATATTTAGTACTCGTCCCATTTCTACCGAAGTTTCTAATCACGAGGGATCAAAACGTTATTCATTATCATTATCAAATTCTTCTTCTGAGACTGATTTTTTAAATTTAATGTTTAATTATTTTGAAAATTTAGAAATTCAAAAATTTGATGCTGAAAAAAATGAGTAGGTAGGTTAATATAGCTAGACAGTATAATATAAAATGTATTAATGGCTGGTTAATATCAATAGCTGGATTAAATCGTCTTTATCAGAATTTAACTCATAACAGTGATTCCAAAATTGATCCATTGTACGCCACAATCTGTAGGCTGGACCAGTACAAACTGTTCGGGGCTACTTGTAGCATATTTTTTAGCATAGTATTTATTTTAAACAAACTCATCTTGTAATTATGCTACGCTGGAATAGTATCTAAATAACATATTAATTTATTATTACATATTTATATAGATTTTTCAATATGCCTAGACACTATAAAAGAAAAACTAATAGAAGATTCACAACAGAGGTGATTAAAGCTGCCGCAGATGAATTCATTGTCGAAAATAAATCAGTAAGAACCACTGTGTTGCAATAGTCAAGGTGTATTATTACAGTATTACGCATGGTGTACTTGGCGCAATATATTAATTACTACTGATAAGTGTCATAAGGAAAAGTTAGTTTCTAAAGTACTAAGAGAGCCATAGCGAATACTTAAGTGCGACCTTGTAAAATACCATGGAATCTGACTATTGTCTACTATATAAAGGCGCCCCAAAAGAGAGACCAGACACACTATTTCTGCGTGACGACTAGTTGACAGTATTCATGCTAGAGATATTTATCTTAAATTGTAACAGTACTCTGAGTGTTTAAAAAGTGTTAAAGTACTAACCTAACGTCAATAAATTCATAATGACAATTCATTTGACTACGTGTTAATTCGTTTGATTCGACCTTTGTCAACCGTGCTCCACAACTGGACCACAACCACTGCAAAAAAATATGATTTGTGTCATGTCAATCTGTCACGGTTTGTAGCAATACATAAAATGAATGATGGTGTTATATGCCCACCACTATAGAGACTATAGAGACGCTTGTTTTACAGAATATAATAACTCCTGTATGTAGGCGTCTTATCTCAGATATGTTGCTTATGCGCGACAAGACTATAGTGTCGGTCCTGTCGGCAATTCAGTCTTGAACCCGACTCATTCGAGTTAAGTAGTGTGCTTGTAGTATAAATTATATTTCTTAAAAACTAACAAAGTATAATATTCTCATTTAAATCTAAAACGTGTATTCTTTTTATTAATAAACTATTAAACAACATTTGACTATCACCCGCTACACAGAGAACGATTTTCAACAAATTGTCGTCTTCGGATA